TGTTGTTTGTTGGTTTTAGATATGTAGAAAGTGTTGTTTGAGCAAATGTTTGGTTTCTGCATGCTAATCCTGAAGTGAGCTGCGTGAAATTGATGTATTTGTGCATAAACAATTGTCTGCGTGAAATTGATGTATTTGTAAAAGTTGATTTGTAAAAGTTGATTTGCTTAATTGATGAGGAAATAAGAATGATTTTTTGCTTGTTTAATTGATTTGTAAAAGTTGATTTGTAAAAGTTGATTTGTTTAATTGATGTGTAAATAATTCTTATTTTTTGCTTGTTTAATTGATTTGTTGTTTTAAATTTCAATCTGCATTATGTTGAAGGCAAAAAAGACCTGTTGAAGGTACACTTTCGCAACGCGAATTGCGAAAGTCAAATTCGCGTTGCGATAGTCAAATTCACGTTGCGATTTCGCGTTTTGAATTTGACTTTCGCAACAATCGCAACAAAAAATCTGATAAGTGATAACAATTGAACATATCATAGCAATGTTCAAACTCAAGTTACTAATGAATGTCTAACTGAAATGTATGCATTCACACATAAAATACACATAATACAACGTTTGCATTTAAAAATCACCTAAGTTAATAAGTCCCAAAAGGTGAAGCCGGTTGTGATTGAGATTTTGATTGCGATTTTGATTTCCTTTTCCTTGGCATCATATGAGCTTTGGATTTTGATGAGGATTTATATTTTGGTAGAGGAAAAGATTATTGTCATGGCATTGATGATCCACAGGTCAACCTTGTATGACCATTTTCCTTGCACCGACTACATGTCGATATCCTCTTCACTTCACCCTTAGACGGTATACGATCATGATTTTTTGGTCGGCCAGGTAGCCTGCTGTCCATGACTGGTAGCAAAATTGTTTGTAAGTCATCTGGTATGTCCCACTCAGAAGGATGTGGAATAGGGTAGACAATCTCGGCATAAGTCTATCGATATACTTCTGTAGTGTAGCAATCCATAGCGTATGCGCTTGAATCATCTTGGTGTAGATGAAGTGCAACTTTTATAACATGGCCACACGGATAACCAGATGTTTGTCATTTCATACAACTACACGTCTTTGCATTTAGATTGACAAGCACATTTAAGTTATTATCCAATACTTCAAACAAAGTGTTTGAACATGGTTCAAGTCTCCATGACGTTGACTTCACAACACGTTTCATTATCTTTTTTTCAGTGCATGGTGTAACACGACGTTCCAATGTTCCTGTAAATTTAAATAAATAATACTTAGTAAAATATATGATAAGTTACGGATTTAAAGAAATAATACCTGCATGGTTTCTTTTCTTGTAGCACCACTATTGAATAAAGGCTCGAAAAAACTCCATTAACATAGTAATGGGTAATTTCTGGGAATGATGACTTAGAGCGTTGATTGATCTGCACTATTAGACGTCATGAAACCATATTTTGTTCCAAGTTAATGTACTCTTGACCATCTTTCAAACCCGACATCTTCTAGTGTTTGAGCACATTGAGGCAAAACATGTCTTAAACAATTTATATGCTTATTAAAATCCACTTCCCGATAAGATTTTGCAGCCTTCCAGTATGTTTATTTGTGATTTTTTATACCAGCAGACCTTGATTTTAGATTTCTATACAAATGAACACCACAAAGTCCATGAAAAGCATTTGAGAAACACCTTCTAACAGCGTTGTCAATTGAGTTTGCCCTATCGAATATGATTGTCATATTGCTAATAGGACCTATGCAATCACAAAGATGTCCCATAAACCATGTCCATGAATCAGAGCTTTCAGATTTGCCAACCCCGTAAGCTATTGGCAGTATCCCATTGTTAGCATACATGGCTACTGCTAATAAGTTTACTTAAAGGTATCGACCTTTCAAATGTGCTCCGTCAACTATAATAACTGGGCGCATACAAGTAATAAACGAACGAATCTACAAAATAATATACACAAGACATAATCATTTAAATGTGAAATGCATGTAACTAACAAAAATGAGTCAACAAAATTATATTGATTTACTAACCGCATCACCAATGACGATAAAAAGCAACTCAAAGCATCCATCTCTATATGTTTTGATATGAGTTACCAACCTAGGATTTTTCAGCTTTAAATTATGACAATAAGCCGACAGTTGGGCAAACGATGCTTCTGGAGACCCCCTCAATAATTCCAAGGCATAACATTTGGCTCTCCAAGCTTGAGAATATGAGATACTAATCTTAAACCGGGCATTCATGTCAGTCATAATTTCATGTCCACGATATACCTTGCCATTCAAAAACATTAACTCAGCCAGAAAACCACCCAACACCTTTTTGTTTGCTTGTATATGGTGAGGAAAAACTTGGGTTATTGAACATGTATGTTTATCAATAAAAGTCCTAACTTGAAACATTTCACAATCTTTTATCCTCTTTGCAATCATATGCCACGTACAGTTTTTGTCAATCATACACTTTGTTTCGAAACGATCTTTGCTTGATTTGTTAACTTTTAATTGATAGCCATCTTCCACACATTTCGTATACAAAGCTATCTTCAAGTCGTCCTTTGTATCAAAACAATCATATTTCTTGATACGAATAACTTTTTTGTAAAAATCAACTGCTATCTTTACCAACTCTTCTTTCGGTATCTGAAGTAATTATGGCATATTCCAGTTATACTCCCGTGGTATTTTCTTCTTTTTCTTTTCTTCGGGGACTTCTTCTTCTTCTTTTTCTTCTTCAGGGTTATATGAATTACATAATGAATGTTCAACATGCTCATTCACAGTCGTAACTTCCTCCTCATTATTATCAACAACATCTTCCTCGACAGCGGCTGTTTCATCATTAAAATTCGGGTATTGACCAATATCAAAATCATTACACGCAGGGTCTGTTTCTTCTTCTGAAACATCATCAAAATCCGAGTATTGACCAAGATTAAAGTCTGGGTATTGACCAAGATCAAATTTTGAATACTGACTACTACTTACAATTTTTTTCTGTTGGCTCATAATCGTCTAACTGGTCAATACAAAAACTGGAATTTGGTGCTGAAAGTTTATTGGGATTTGGATTACGAAAAGGTTGCGGGTTTTGAGATTGTGTTTGATATTGTGTTTGGTATTGGAAATGTGGTGAAACAAAATTTTCTTGGTGATGAAATTGTGGTGGAACCATTAAATTTTGAGGTTGATAACAGCGATGTACATTGTGAGTATCATAAACTGGGGTTGAAGAACTTAGTTGATTACTACCCGCTACTGACCCAACTTCACTACTTCTAGGTTCAACAACATACAATGTAACATCATCTTCTTGCGAAACACTAATGTAAACAATGAATCGTTCAACATCTTCATTGTCGGTTAACAAATAAACTTTATCTTTTCTCTGATAAGATAGCCTAAATCCACTTAGAGGCTCTAAATTCAATTTCTTTGCAATACGTAACATTAGAGTTTCATAAGTTAAATTTTTTAATGACAGTTTTAGTTGAAGATTCATGAGTAAAAACATATATTGTAAAACACCATGAACATTCTCCCATGACCCTCCAAAATACAAATTTATCCAAACATGATCAACATTATATGATTTCATTCTACAAATTGTAAATTAATTTACTAAACAAACGAGCTATAAACTACATATCATCACTAACTTAGAGAAAAACATACCTTTATTAAGTTGATAGTTGATAATTTGGGAGAGAAATCATTGAAAAATTATATAGAAATAAAATTATGTAAAAACAATTAGAGATGGGGAAGGATGTCGTTGGATATAGGAACGGATGTCGCCGGAAAGAGTGATAGAAGGAGATGGAATGAGTTGCGATTTAGGGATTTAGATTATGAGTTGTTGCTGCTGCTGCGTAGTTATATAACCAAAACATTTGTGTTGCGAAACTAAAACCTGTTGCGAAATTAAAATTCGTTTTGCCAATTCGAAAATCGAGTTGCGAATTTGAAATTCAGTGTTGCGAATTTGGAAATCGCGTTGCAAATTTGGAAAATCGTAATGCGATTTACATATTCGCCTTGCGAATTTGGAAACTGGATTGCGAAATTGGAAATCGCAACGCGAATTTGGAAACTGAATTGCGAAATTGTAGTTCGCGTTGCGAATTTGTTGATCATTTTCGCAAATCCAAAAAAAATTTGTTAAAATCGTATATTATAAGACATTTTCGGTTACTGAAGTTATTTTCTCTTCTTTAAATATGATTACTTTGATAGTTATAAAGTATTCGTACTATCAATAATATAGTTGTGTACATCCAACACAAATGTTGTACTAGAATGAACCAAAAATAGCATTCAACAAGCAACTAAAATGGGATTCACAGTGCTGACAGTATGCATCATAAAGCAAGACAAAAGCTCCTCAGTGTGTGGGTTGGAATGGTCCATTTGAACTAATGAATGTTTCATTTTATTTCCAGGAATGAATGAATAATTTTCAACATTTGTATAAACTAAATGAAAACGGCACATTATTGTGGCCAAATACATTAATATCTCTGTAATATTAATTATTATAAAAAAATAGCTAGATGACATTAACTATTACTAACATCCAACAATCTCTCTATCAGTGAACAATTAATGCAGGAAAAGTTAGCTTTTCTCAACCTCACTAATTAATTTCACCATACGCGCCTTGTCATTATTTCAATTGCTCGTCAGGCAAGTGTTTCTTACATTGTAATTTGTAATAGCCCTAGGCCACAGCTTGTAGTGGAGCCAACTCTAATTCAATTGTTCCAAAACATAAATACCTTTCTCCTCAAATCATCAAGGGCGAGGAGGGCCATAGGAATCTTTTTCTTTGAGCTTTTGTTGGTTAATCGCCCTTCAAGAAATGATGAAACGCTATCCAATGTGGTTGGTGTCAAAGGTTTCCTAATGGCCCTATACTTGGCTGAAATAAGAGTTCGTATGTATTTAACAAAGTGAGAACTTGCACTGTTGCACATGCATAATCGTATAACTATGGATTCCAAAAAACCAGAAAGAGGATGCAACATGCTGATAGTAACTGTAACTTCCAAAACACAACCATGTTACAACGACTACTACATTGTATATAACCCAACTTAGCTAGGTAGGGGGCTGATATGATACTCGTTTCGCTTTCGAAACATGTAAAGAATAGAATTCTTCACAGGAACCTTTAACGCAAGCTCATATGATGAATGGCTGTTTAAATCCTTTTCGGCCTCGTTTCCTCCTTGGGTTGGCACTGAGCATGCAAGAAAATGCATTTACAAGTTCAGGGTCCTCCTCAGTTATAAGAACCTTTGCTGCACTAGGGTTAGCAAGGAGGAGCTTTGCCACAAGGTATCCAGCGATAGACCATGTTTGAAACAACCGTGACTGCTTTCCAATAAATCTTGCTCTTCTAGTGTCATAGTATTCTGGCCACTTGTCTCTAGATATGCGTCTCTCAGCAAGTATGACAGCTTTTTCAGCTATCTCTGGTCTGTTCATCTTCAAGCACGCCACAGTAAGCTGGAAAAGCACCATGATTATGTTTATCAACAGAAACATAACTCTAATCACCAATTCAGTGAAAGAAAATTCAGATAGCAAGGCATATTATCCAGTTCACATGCTACAACTTTGCTATAGAATTCACAAGCTACAACCATAACTGTACGTGTGTAAAAATGTTCACAAATCAAGATAAAAGGTACAGTAAAATATACAGCAGTATCAACATTGAACTGCCAGAAGATTAGTACAACAATGGCACAAGATCATTCAGTACTGCAGCGAGTGAAGCTTGGAAAGAATAAACTAACCTGCCAAAGCAAAGTAGGCCAAGAACCTCCATTGTGGTATGACCAGGCACTGCAATAAGAAAATAATCTTAAAGTACGGATGGAAGAACTAGGTATGTATTGCCAATTTCCATAGTTAATTACTACTGAGAATTAAGAAAATCATAATCAAATAGGTGAAGGCAATACGTGTTCTTGGGATCACTTCCTGTGATAATTCGCCATTCTTGGCCCTCAAGAGCAGGATAACATATTTTCAAGGGCATATCAGCCACCAATTCCAACCATTTTTCTTCAATAAGATCCAATATGGCATGTGACTGACCAACTGTTGCAAGACCGCCTACAATAGACCATAAGTTTCCAAGTGAAAAGAAACGGAAATCCATGTGAGCTGGCTGCAGATTTCCAATTAAATAACCTCCTCTGGCAGGCATAAAATCCACCAACCAGGAGGGGATTTGATCTGGGTAGATGTTGAACTTATTAACTGCATCATATGAGTATTCTTCTGTCTTGTAACGGTAGATTTCATTAAGCTTTTTCATGTCAATCCAGTAATATTCTCTGATGTGAAACGATAATGCAACTAAACGATTGTTAAGAGCTCTTAGAAGGTCAGCTGAAGCATCTTCAGGAGCAAGCATCTCACGTGCACAGAGTAACGCCGAATAAAAGAGGGCCTGCAAGAACACAAAACTTTAATGCAAAAGGGTTCCTTCATATCTCTAGCTTAAAATGATCAGGCCCTTAATCATGGAGCTTCAGTTTCTATAAGATACAAGCAAAATAAACCCAAAAATACTTATCAAGCATTGAAGAATAAAGATGTGTCTTCTCCCCCAAAAGGAGGAGAGTTCGAGGTCCAAAGTTGAGAACTGAACATAAACATCAATATATCATGCTGCCTAGCTTATGCGTACAAGAAGCAATGTTTCCCTATAGAGCAGGTGTAGAGTTGATCCTAACAGTTTTGAAGCTTCCAATAACATAATTCATTCCTCAAAAGTGCAACTTAATCAAAGGACTGCATCAAACATTTTAGAAAGTACTAAACCTGAATTTCCAAAGGATGACCATGAATTCCCATGCGACGATCTATCATGCAAGAACCATCTGTCACTAACAAAGTTGGGAACATGTCAAAGCCATCAGCAAGACAGAGCTTTAAGATCATTTTAATTCCAGTTTGCACATCAACTCTCTCCTGCACTGAAAGATCCCCGGTGCATTTTCCATATGCTCGTAAAAGTATAATCCACCATTATCCTGGAAGTGTAATAAAAAAAAAGTTGAATTATTAATCTCTTAGGTTAAATATAAATTGATGTATATCAAGATGTAACACGGAGAGAACTTATTGCAACATTCTCTTACCAGAATCAACTGGAGCAACACGGCCAATTGCTGCTTCACCAAAGTCAGGGTCCAATACATCTTCAGTCACAGAACCATCACCATCAAGTGGAACAGTACGCACTTTGAAACTGGCAGGCATCAGCCCCTGACCAGGACTATGACAATCCATGGTTTTCTCCCAGCTCTGTCAATTAAGAAGAAAAAAAGGTAAATCAATGGAGACGATACATTCATGCTTCAAACTAGTAATCCAATTGCAATGCTTAATCATATAACACAATGTGCTTCATATTACCTGCAATTGAAGTGTGTGCAGAATGAAACTCCGGACAATATCATATTCTCCCCTCAACAGAAAAGCTATCCCCGAAGGTATGAAATCACGGATAAAGACTTGATCATAGTTTAGAATGCTTGAGCTGCTTGTATCACTTGCAGCAATCGTTCTAATCGGATTACTACAATAATAAACAACAGACTCCTTCAGCAAATCCCATGCTTCTTCCTCAATTTTCCTACCATCTACTGTCCCGACCCCATTTGTATTGCCATTAGTAAACGCTTCCCCATCAGATCGCAACAGTTGATTCAACTCTTGAACATTATTCACATCAGTCTTACCATTTATAGAAAGTGATGCAGGTCTCGCATCATCCGCGGTTAATCCACTATCACTATCAGCCTTTTGGCATTTGCATCTCAAAAAACATGATCTTTTCGTCAGGTTCTTTCTGTCATCGGTACTACAAAAACCGACACTCTTAGATCCACATCTCTTTAATCCATTTCCCAATGTTCTTAAACTATAACGGAGTTCTACTAACCCTAAATTTCTTTGTTTTCCATGATTTGCACCGACGCTGGATAAAAACAAATGATCTAAACACAGAGATGCTTCTGGCAACGCCATCAATCTTAAATTGTAAACTGAATTCAGTTAATTTCGTCAACCAACTACCTATTTAACACAAAATGAAAAAAAAAACCCAAAAACATCGGTTAATGAATAAACCAATACTAAAACTAAACAGAAAAACTAAAACTTTTCAAAAGAAAAAAGAGAGGAAGAACTCACCTCTGTACCATTAAAAGATATTTGTCAGCTTATTTGAAGCAAAAGAAAGAACCATCCTCAGCCTCTCTTTATTTCCCGGGAAAAGGCAGGTTTTTGGATGAGGTTTGCGAGATTTTTCTAGGCTTCCAAACAGAATGGATTTTATACACTTGCCTACTTGCCCGTCTGTTTTTGTTAATTCCAATGCCCCAATTGGTCGCGCGGGGGATGGTGGGACGTTTGGCGGTTTGGTGAATTTCAATTGGGTAACAAATGGAAAAACTAATAAATAATCATGAGAAACGACTATGAGGCTTGCACGTGTGGCATTATATGGGGAGTGAAAAGGACAACTTCAGCTGATTCATCATCCCCACGCATATCAGTGAATTAGCTCGGATTTAAACAAATATCTAATTGGCAAAATGTCTTTAAATTCTATTCAAGATTTATTTTTTTTATTATAAATAGTATTATTTACATTATTCAAAATGTTCAAATTTATCAATTTATTATAAAGTTTAATCATCTAAAATAATTAAAATAAATTAGAATTAAACTTTCTCCAAACTCCGTATCACTTTTTCTTTACTTTAAATAATCAATTGTTAATGTTTCCTATTATACTTTCTTCGAATTTTCTCCTTAAAAAATATCTTTTGTAGGTTATATTAGGTTATACCTCTTATTCTTTTACAACATTTCATAGTCTTTGAAAATTCATACTATATAATTAGATATACTTTTGACATGACTACTGATAAATTTATGTATTCTGTTGATAGTCTGATTCATTCATCATGTCAACCTATAAATAAATATCATCTTAATCTTAACAACAACACTAAAATTTTGTATAAACCACTTGCAACAACGCCATTCCCTCTTCAACACTCCTCAAACCCCATCTTAAATTGAACCAACAATATAACTTCTTTACATTTAAATTTTCAATGGATTCAACTTGAGATAATTAAATAAACATGAATACATAGTTGTCTCTATAAAAATCGTAATTACATGCATACGTTATATAAATCGATTGTGTGCAAGATAAGAAGAATGACATAAATAGAAGTGATGACAAGAATAATGTAGAATGAATTAACAATCAATGGCTAAAAACCAAAGAAACGCCTACAAGCTTCAAGGATGTTGTTCCCCTTTTTATCGGATTCCTTTTGTGTGTGGACCTCATCGTTTGTGTTTTCTTCATCTGCAACCGGAACCGACTCATATTGATGATCTAGTCTGCGATAAACTTCGTTCGCAGAAGCCGATGAAGCTCTCATCGAAAACACTTTCCTCAATGCCTTCTCTATCCCTGCCGATGATGATGAACTTTGTTTCTCATCCTCTATATCACCTCTCATTGAAAACGTTTTGCCAATCACTCCGTCATTCGAGCAAGCTGCTGCTGCTGATAAACCCAAAGGCTTTCGCCCCAAAACAACCCTGATAAGTTCTTCATCATCATCGTCATCTTCATGCACCTGATGAAGAAATGAATCATGGAGGTGATCTAGATCATCAGTGTTTATGGTATTAACATTGATCTGAATCCCTTGTTTTGAGTTTGGGATGGACATAGGTGTTTAAGAAAGGAAAAAAGAAATCGACCAGCCTTCATGTTTCTTTGATCCAAGGCTTTATTTATATATATATATATATATATATTGTAATTAAAGGCTTGCAACTGATCCATATTGTTTGATGAAGAATAAAACGAATCATGGAAAACACTATCATTAACTGATACTGAAATGCATTGATGATATCATAAATTATATCGTATAATATTTATGTACAATGAAATGGATTCTGCGAAGATATGTAAAACATGTTTCTATCATTTACTCAACGTCTAATTCAACATCTAAATGCCTCGAAAATAAAGAGTTCAGAAAACAAAAGCATTATGGAGTCCCCAAAACCCCATGAAAAATGAGCAAAAATAATTCCTATCAGTGTTAGTACTCTCAACAATCAAGGATCTTCAAAGCTTTTTTGCTACTTTTAAGGTTGGTTATCCTATGATGATTGTTAGAATGGTGCATGACAATTGGTTTGGTGCACAGGGGAGCTAGAATTAAATATTGGCAAGGTCGAAATATTAGACTATTTAAAAAAATATATAAATACTTATTAGGTATTTAAACTCAAAATTTAGCATGAACCAAGCGACCTTAGTGATTAAGAGATTGTTGTTATCCTTGAGGTCCCGAGTTCAAAAACGTATGTAGGAGTATGAGCGTTCATTGTATTCACCCTAAATTTTAAAAAAACTCAAAACTCAAAAGACAACTTCTAATTTGTCTAATTTTTAAACTTACAATAACTTAAATTGTAATTAGACCAAAAATTTGATAACACAAACTTATATTTTTTAGTTCGACCTCTACTTGATTAAATATTTAATAATTTTTTATATTTTTTAAATTTAAATATTTATTTTTACATGAATCAAAATACTATTAAATCAAAATTATATCAAATATATAAATTTTAACAGGGGTGGATCCCCTTTTGGCGCTAAGGGATCCCCGTCCCTGTTGGTGCATTTAGTCTCAGTATGCATTGTATCACCTCATCTGTTTTTTGCAAGTCCAATGAAACAATGGCTATTCAACAGAGTTTCAACCTGAAAGGAGTGTCAGACAGGGTGATCTCCTATTACCTTACTTTGTGTTGGTTATGGAATGTTTGGGCTACAATATCAGTAAAATTGATGAAGGGACATTTGAAAACCTTCTTCTTTTTTCCCTCGCTCGCAAAGGAACAGATGCACCCCCATCAAATTTAGGTTTTCGTTTGAACACCCTTACATAGCCAACACATGACAAACCATGAACGCTGTCGGTATAATCTCTCTAATGATCAATCTTACTTGATTTGTGGTGCAACTGAAGAATCTGTCCTCCATGTCTTGAGAGATTGTGCTGCAACCTGAGGTCTCTGGAGTCGATTATTACCATATCAACATGTCTCGGATTCCTTCGCACTTCACCTGAATGGCCGTGTAAGGATCTAGCGTCATCTGCTTTGGTAGATGGCAGCAAGGTTTCTTGGTAGCTTTTGTTTTCATTGATATGTGCAAATATGGTAGCATCCGAACGATTTTATTTTCAATGGCTCTTGTATACACGTTGAGGATGTGTTGCATCTTAGCCTAAACTGGCTAGTCATAGCTGCAGAATTCCTAAAGCTGGGGACCTGAGTAATGGCGTCGAGGATATCCAATGGCGTCTGCCTCCGCAAGGATGAGTTTGCCCTAATACAGATCGAGCAGTAGCAGCTGATACAAGTCTGATATCTGTGAGTGGTACATTTAGGCTCTTTTGGAGATTGGTTACTCCGACTCGATTAGTGTACAGGCTTCACCACAGCACTGCAAGCATAGCTTTGGGGCATTTACGAAGGCTTACAACACAGTGGGGAAATGGTTTTTAGCGACTACAGATCCAAATTGATAGAGCTGAATGATCCTGGCGCTGGACATATCTCCCTTTCGCTAGTTCGAGCTATTTCCAAGGTGGCTTCAAGAAGCTGGGTAATAAAGGTTCGGTGGACACGATGTAGCAAACATGATAGCGGATGTCATAACCAAACTAGTTGGTTTTTGGGATTTTCTTTGGTTTCTATGATGTCGCACCTGATGTCATTCATGGGTTTGTCAACTCTCTCTCTCTCTCTCTCTCTCTCTCTATATATATATATATATATACACACACATTTTTTTGTTTAAAAAAAATCTCATTCCGTGGTTTATTCTTTTTTTCGGGGGTTATTTTAATTCACTCGAACAAGATAAAGAAAGTGCCTCAATTTTGTAAGCTTATCAATTTTCCGTCACATTTTCTTCGAAACCTTACAGAGCTCGCACTTATTCTTGCATATTATAGAGGTTTGTGATAAAATGCTTTTGCAGAAGTGGTTAACTGGCTTCTGCTTGAAACAGGAACAATTACACAGTCTGCAACATGGAAACAAGAATTTAAACTTACTGAAATAGTAAATCTGGATTATTAACTTTCATGGTCTGTAGTGGGGTTCAGACAATGACTGGCAGCACACTAGACCAGGCAAAGCTAACATTTTTTTCATAGTCATGTCCAAAAGGGGGGGAAATGAAATAGTTTTTTTTTAGTAGAGAGAGATTACAATTTTAAGGTAAATATAACGATTCAAACCCACGCAAGATGAGGCAATATGAAATATTGATTTGTTAATTTTGTCAAACAGGGGTATAAGAATTGCATGGCATAACCTTGAATACGAGGCGAGAATTTAAAATTGTATGCCATAAAGTAAAGCTAAACATTGTATTTGATCAAATCCTTCTGAGGTTTGAGGTGAAAGACTACACACAGTCGGAAGACATTTTGAAAACAAAATATGAACAATTATGGTGGTGTTCCTTCCACTATTTTATCTTTGATGAGGTGTTAGCTAAATTTTTTATTGCGGACTAATACTACCTAACAAAAAAATATGCAGTCTACCTTCACATGTCCGTGTGATGATCATTATCGTTGTCACCATTGTAGTATTCATCATCACGTTGAATTTGCTTGTCTTGAGTGTGCTCTGCGGAGAAAAACGTAGAGAGATGAAAAAAAAAACCCAGAAATCAAATGGCAGAAAGTGTGTACGAGTGCTAGTTAATGCACAGCACAAGGGTACATGCTATTCTACTTACGGTCCATGCGCTCATCCGGATTTTGCTCATCTTCATCAAAATCAGGAATATAGAAATCAGGTGGAACCTGCATCACATAACATAGTTATTAGACCACCAATATTTTCAGGAATGTTTACAACCCAAAAGATCTCTCCCCCCCCCTTAAGATGGGGCATGGTTCTAACCACATACACCACGACAAATAATCTAGCCCGTCAAGATTCAGATTTAGGAGGAAAACAGTTGTCTGCTACTCACATCTTGCATCTGTACACCTGGAGCATGTTGGATGCAGCGAAGATTTTCCAACACTTGCATCTTGATCGTATCGTACTAAGATATGATTTGCTATTTAAGTTCTCCTGCAGAATCAACCGAAACACAGGGTTACAATGTTTTGTTTTCTTTGATTACCAAATATTAGAGAATATATATGAAACTGATAGCTTCCAATCAATTGACCGAAATAAGTAATGCAGTCCTTGAATTTTAGTTGTGCAATAACGTACTATGTGCCCATTTGGAATATTCAACAAGCACTCTGGTGCAAAATATTTGATATACTCATTTTCTGGGATTTCTGCACAAGATATAAAACTTTTAAGTAAGTTTCTCAATATAACAACCAGTGAAACATATTAAAGCAGCTGTCTACCAAAACCATACCTACATACACAATATGTTCAAAGAACCTGACCAGACATTTGAAAATATATTATCCAGCTCATTTCAATATCAAGCAGATTTAGATATGTAGTAATCAACAATCAACATAGCATTCACATGATAAGGAACACCAGGTTATCCGCATTGGCAATAAATGAGTTTGATATATGAATTTAGATGCTTTACGAAACTAATTTACAAATCCCAGTTCTCAAAGCCAAGTTGAATGAGAAAAATACAAATGTCATCATAGCGTTCCAAGAAAACAAGAGGGGATTATCTGCCATACCAATAGGAAGTTCTGTATCTAAAAGAACTCCAGTTTCAAAAGTCCAACAACGTGCAACATTTTCTTTTGTGTATCCTCCTCCTCCAGTAACCTGTAGCATAAAAGATTCCTCGCCTCAGTACTTCAAATATAACTTATTTGAAGCAGTTAAAAAGGTTAATCAAACAAACAGCATACCAGTAAAGGTAGGTTGAATTTCTTCACAATTATAACACACTCCGCATGTCCTGCAAATAAGATCAACAACTTCAACATTCATCAATCATTTAAGGGAGGGAGTGGGGGGATAGTCCTTGATTTACAGGTCAATTTAAATACCATCAATTGAGAGATTGAAACAGCCCAAGCGATCCCCAGCAAGAGAATCTGCCCCACATTGAAGAACTATTGCACCTGGTTGATACATTTCAACAACCTTGGAAATAATCTACAAAAGGTAGATATTTGCACATAATATTTTAAAAGCTACGGCAGTCAAGAAACAGAAAAGCAATTACTTTTCTATTATATGTATTGGTTTTGACTCGGTACTTACTGACTTAAACAATCTAGTGTAACTGGTGTCATCAATTCCATCCTTGAGTGGGACATTTATGGCATAAAACTTCCCTTCTCTTTCTCCTATATCCTTCAATACAACTCATATAAGTATTTCAAACAGACATCAACTTGGCATAACATTACCATTTATCAATATAAACTATCCAGAAGAAAGGACATCACAAGTGAAGCAGATAATAAATTCCTCAATTATACGAATCTAAAAGCAAAAGGTGAAAGTAACAGGAAGGATGCAACTAAACTAGTTTTATTTCTCTAATAAAGAAGTGTAACTTGAAAAGTTTATATTCTAGGAAATTTTCTCACCTAAGTTTGCAAAGAGAAAGCAAAAAAGAAGACTAGCATCATTGGTAAGTAAAAAAATGCCTACTGTAATTATTAGGGGAGAAAATAGGAGCAGAGAATTGACAATAACCTTCACATCACCAGTTCCAGGAAAGAACATATCTCCATACTTATGAAAACTAACAGTCATCACCCTGTCATAATAGAGTTTCAACAATTTGATTAAAAGATAGCATTTAGCAACCTGATGATTAAAAGTTCAACAATTGAAATAGAATTTCAGAGATGCATGCAAGCCTCTCACGGTATCATAAAATAAACAAACTAATTTTAATCTTGCAAATGCTTATACGAACATAACACCCTCCACCCCCCCCCCAAAAAAAAATACAAGTGGATAATTCTATTAAAAGTAAATCACAAAAGATAACAGTATTTTGGCTACTTCGACAAGCTTCAAACCACCTGTCAGTGAAATAAAAAGCTTCTTCAACGCCATCGCCATGATGTACATCTATGTCAATAAACAGAACACGAGCATGATACTTCAGAAGCTCCAAGATGCCCAAAACCAGGTCATTGACATAACAAAAGCCAGATGCCTCGCACTTCTTGGCATGATGTAAACCACCAGCCCAATTTATAGCAATATCACATGGTTGATTGTTTAATCTTCGTGCAGCATCTGCCAGAAATTACAATCAATTAGACTGAAAACCACAAATAGAGTTAGGAGTGACAGCCCATCAAATTAAGGTTTACCTATTGTTCCACCAGCATAAATTTGACAAAATTCAAACAAGTTTTCAAAGACAGAGCAGTCTTCTCCAAGATTGTCTGGGAAGAAAAGAGAAAAGGATGAATATCAAAGTATAAAACCAATGTACATCAGAGAAAATATAACTTAATCCATTCTCAAAAGGATATTTGCATGTTCATTAAACCAGATTATATAACCAAGTTAAACTACAGAATATACGTAAGAAAAAACCATGCAGCTCTGCAGAATGGAGAGAAATGAAATTAGAAAAGAAGCAATACCACTGCTAGAACACTACATGATCTCCATCATATATACCAAAACAATATACTATGCTTTAATCTTAATACACCATAACCATCAATCTTGGACAAGGCAATTCGTAGAACATCTTTTCAGCACTTAGAAAGATAAGGCACTAAACTAACTGTACAATCAGTGAAGTGCTAATCCATTAATTTAACAAATAGAAACAAGTCACAAACGAACAGCGCATTAATAAGACCATACAGGTTTCCAAACTAATTTGAATGTCTTAATGTTCGATAGCAAAATATAAGCAAAAGCTATACCCCAGCTAATGGTGATACTAAACTCAAAAACTTTGCCAACATCAAACATTCATACAAAATACTCAAGGCAGATAGCTTTTCCCAGTCCAAATGTGTCCTAACAAACTATTTTCTGTCGATAAAGGAAAGAAAAAAATGTGATACATACATTTGGCCAATTCATTCGAGAACAAATGCAGCGTATCTGGAGTAATTCGATGTAAAAACTCAACATAATCAGCAGAATGGAACTGAGCGAATTCAACGGGGTAAGCCTTGTGGGTACGCTGCATTAAACAAAGAAAAGAAAGAAAGAACAGAGCCAGTAAAAAAGAGAAAGAGATTTATGCCAGTGAAATTAGAGAAAGGTTTGAGTATTTGAGGAACTGACATAAATTTCCATTTTTTTATGGAGGTCATAGGCAAGGACCGAATGATGAGTCATACAAAGCCTGTGCGGTTTCATTGGATGATTAGGACCAAAGTAAATGCTCCCAACATCTCCTGTCAAACAACCAAAAGATAATTAAATTTTCTTTCTTTTTTATGGGGGGTAAGCCAAAAGCTAGAGTTTTGAAAGATTTAGGGGAATTAAGAAAATAATAATTAGAGAAAGAATGTTTTTAAGTTTATTATGAAAAGGGAGAGGAAAGGAAAGGCTGAGGGAGACGAATTGTGAAAATGAGAGGAGAGAGAGAGTGAAAAGTGAAGATGATGATACCGTCGTAAAAGTTTGATATTTTTTCCTTTGAACGCATTCAGCGAGTGGTGAGATAAAAAAAGGCTGCGAAGAAGAGAGGGTAAGATGAAGTCTTTGTTGGCTACGAAGAATCCGCCATTGTTAGAGCTCCTCAGGGGAGTTGCAGAGACGTAAAAAAAGAAGAGGGCGAGAAATAATTGCGTGCCTCTCAG